ACTTCTTGATTACATTCTGGTATTCGATTGAACACCTCATAGTACCTTTTCGCATAGGCCCTAAGGCCTTCGTCTTTGCTGATCTTCAGAGCCATCAATGCGTCCACCCTCAATGGCTGTAGTTTGTTCGTCACAAACCTGGCCACAAACATCTTGGCCAGGCCTTCCCAAGTTTTTACACTTCCCTTCGGTAGTTTATGGAACCAATCTGATGCAATTTCCCCAAAGGACGAGGGGAACACTTTGCAGAGCAACGGCTCGTTCCCACTATATAATGCCATCGAATTCAGGTATAACCCGACGTGGAAGTTGGGATCTGACTTACCATCATATATTTGGAACCTCGGCATACTGAATCGCTTTGGTGCTTGAAATTTGTCCAGTTCCACCGAGAATAGTGTCTTCAGCTTAACTGGGGAAGTTACCTCGACTTCAGCATTCTGTTGTTTCCTCTTCAGGTAATCTCTCAAGTCTTCTTTACTCCTCCCTGGAGCTCGGCTATCTTTGGACTTCAATCTTTTTGGCACACTACTTTCAGCCTCGTGGTGGGCTCGTTTTGACCTTTCTCCATGTGTTGTGTCAAAGCAGAGCGCTTGCCCTTGAACATGCCGATGTTCTTTAGGCTCTTGGTCCTTCGTCTGATATGTCCTTCGGGACTCTTCTCGTCTTGGCTCTTCTCGTCCGACTTCCCTAGAAGGTCGGTGAGAGTGCCTTCCACTCCTGGTGTGCTGAGGGACTTCGGGGATTGCTCTTTTTTCCCTCTTCTGTGTATTAGTTGCGGGTATCGGCGTATCCTGCAGCGGGTATGTTGGTTGCATGATATTATTTTGCATCATGAAGTTGACGATCGACTGTAGGTCTGCCAACTTGTTTGCCAAGTCTTTTACTTCCTCATCCCTCCGTAGGCACCTTTCCCTCCATACCTGAAGGTTATCTTCGTTATAATACTTGCTTTGGTCTGTTCTCTTCGAAGTATCGCCCTCCTGGCCGACGTCTTTTTTACCGTGGCCTTGGTCATGAGTTTCTGCATTGTGGTTGTCTCCTTCGACGTCAAGGTCAATTGGTCTGCCACTCCCAGCAGGAGTGTCGCCCCCAATGTTTTCCTTCTGTCCGTTACTGGTCATCTATTCTTCTAAGATTCCCACAGACGGCGCCAAATTGTGTGGGTGATTTTCCGACCACACTGCCCGCCTAGTAATTTGCTGGAGAGCACCGGCAGAATAGATGGCTTCAGCAAACCTGTAACAGAAAAAAAAAGCTCCGGCGGTGGCTCTTCCACCCGGGGGCACTCTGACGATCAAGTCAGTATATCTCTCAAAGATAATCAAGTGCTAAACTCAAATTTGAGTCTTCTATTTTAATTTTTGAATTTCATACAATTTTGATGATAATTATTGTGATGATTTTAGAATGCCTTTATGTTTGATTTTACATGTTGTGAAAATTAAGAATTTTAAATTTTGCTCAACTAGGCTTCATTTTACATGTTGGCTATCTTCTGGATTATTAGCTAGGTTCAGAACGAAGAAGAGCGAGTACTTGATTTTTTTTTTTTATGGTGTTAATTTGAGTCTTCTATTTTAATTTTTGAATTTCATACAATTTTGATGATAATTATTGTGATGATTTTAGAATGCCTTTATGTTTGATTTTATTGTTTTTCAAAAACAAGATGTTTTACTTTGTTTTGATTAGACTTGAAAAATTTAGGTTATACAATGAATGGAAGTGTTGTGTGGGTTTATTAGTGAATGTTTTAAGAAATGGAGAGCAATGGCACAACGACTCATTGAACAAGTAAGCCTTTTTTTTTTCTTCACAATTTTGATCTTCGTTTGGGGAACTAGAAGTTTATTTATTGAGTTTCTTTTTATTGAAATTTTTCTTCTTGATATAGGTGATTTTAGGGGTGGAAGAGAAATTTAGATTATGTTGATTCAATAGAATAACATTGCCTATTACTTTTTTCACACCCTATAACTCTACCAGTGCTTATAATCAATTAAAATTTTCATTTTAAAATTTAGACACTGTAGGCACAGTTGTATATTCATTTTAAAATAGTTGTGACAAACAAATGTGATTATAATAAATTAAAATTTTGATTTGATGGGTTAGAATCAATTTTTTTTCTTCTTCTTCCCTTTACCCCTGTGACTCTTAACTCAATATATTTTAGTTTCATTGGGTGAAAATCATCTGTTATTTTTTACGGGAGCTAAGCCTATTCTTTCCTTTCTTCATTTTTTTTTTCTTTTTTTTTTCTTTCTTCTTCTTCTCCTCTCATTTTTTTGTTTTACTTTCAGAGTGAGGATTGTAAGTTGTGATAAAAAAAAATAATAATAAATTATACTTTCAGCTTCGCCAGTTATTTTGTAAGACTATGAATAATGCTGAGATTGGCTCAATGAGGTCTAGAAAGAATTTGAAAAAAGAAAATAGTAAAGAGGTCTAGAGTAACAAGAGACATTGTTTTGCATCATGAAGTTGACCACTGACTGTAGGTCTGCCAACTTGTTTGCCAAGTCTTTTACTTCCTCATCCCTCCGTAGGCACCTATCCCTCCATACCTGAAGGTTATCTTCGTTATAATACTTGCTTTGGTCTGTTCTCTTCGAAGTATCGCCCTCCTGGCCGACGTCTTTTTTACCGTGGCCTTGGTCATGAGTTTCTGCATTGTGGTTGTCTCCTTCGACGTCAAGGTCAATTGGTCTGCCACTCCCAGCAGGAGTGTCGCCCCCAATGTTTTCCTTCTGTCCGTTACTGGTCATCTATTCTTCTAAGATTCCCACAGACGGCGCCAAATTGTATGGGTGATTTTCCGACCACACTGCCCGCCTAGTAATCAGCTGGAGAGCACCGGCAGAATAGATGGTTTCAGCAAACTTGTAACAGAAAAAAAAAAAGCTCCGGCGGTGGCTCTTCCACCCGGGGGCACTCCGACGATCAAGTCAGTATATCTCTCAAAGATAATCAAGTGCTAAACTCACTACTCAAAGCATAAAACTACGTACCTTAGACCCACGGGGGTGCCTCTCTTTTATAGTTTACTCAATCCTAGTTCCATTAGAAGCCTGACTTCTATGGACTCTCATTCAGTGCTTATTTTGGATTTCTCAAGAGATAAAGATAAACTCCCTAAGAGCTTTATCCTTATCTTAGCAAAGTTTTCTCTTTACTCTAGGACTCTTGCCCCTTATCCATTATCCTTTTACCTCGGATTCCGATATCTTCGGAGATAACCTCGGCTTTGCCAAGATAACCTCGGCGTCGCAACCAGGACACGCGGCACTTCAGCTGACACGTCGGCGTCACCTTGCCACGTGTTAGTATTCAGAAAATACATCCCCACATTATTTATCTACGTATTTTATTTTTTAAATCTAACTCTAAAAATAATAAATAAAAAAGATTATATATGCTGGTTGGTTTTTGTTTTCAAAAACAGATATGGATGTAACAATACAGAGGCATACAATCTCTACTACTGTTCTGTTCATGGTTTTGGTGGTTTGAATTGTTTTTATATTTTAAGAATCACATATTATAATACTTTATGTGGATGAAGTTTTAAACTTTCTTTTTTTAGATGAGACATGCAGTGATTGTAATACTCTGTTAAATCATTGACTGCAAAAAAAAAAATTTTAAAAAGTGCATAAGTTAAATTATGTTAAAAATTTATTAAATTTTAAACCGCCAAACCGATTCGCATCCATCCATCAATCAATTTAATCTATATATATTGAATTGGCAAATAAATGTAAAATTATTTTTTTTCAATTTATCAATTTAACCGACACGAATTAAAAATTCTGTGACCGTACCCCCCACACACGCCCATCCTTGCCCATTCTTGTTGCCGAATTATGGGCCATTTGGTTAGGATTGCAATTGGGATGGGCAATGGGTTTTCGCAAGGCCTTGATTGAATCGACTGCTCAGACGCTGTCTATGCGATTAATTCAGCTATGGATATTCAGGCCTCGTTTGGCAAGAGATTATTTTAGTTAATTAGTCAAAAAATTATTAAATTAGCCAAAAAGTCAACAACTCATACCGAAAAGTCAAAGATTCTCTTTTCTCTCTACTTTTTACACATCTTTTTGTAATTAGCCAAAAAGTCATCCCAAACATACAAATTTTTTTTACCTACCTTTTTAGTCAAATAGCCAAAAAATTACTAAATTAACCTGTTCCCAAACGAGGCCTCACTCTCCTTTTAATCTGTCAAACAATTTGTTAAAAAGAAAATGAGTTGGACCCCCTCAAAGAGGCACCCCCTCTCTCTGATTGGTCAGTTTTTTTTTTTTTTCCTTCTCTTCCAATCACCACCCGTCACATGTGTGTGGGGTGGTGGCGTGGTGATTGGAGGAGTCTCAATCACTTCCCTTGTTAAAAAAAGAAAAATGATTGGTGGCCCTAAAAAAGTTGCCTCTAATACCCCTAATTTCTATTTTTGAAAACTGTTTTTTTTTTTCTTTTTTCCTTTTTTTTTTTCTTTTTTTACTTGAAATGGAATTTCGGGGCATTCGAGCCCCGAAATCTCGGGCCCTCAAGCAGCACCCTTAAAAAAAAGCTAAATGATAACCGCTGGACTACAACTCCATGATTGGCTGGCTTAAACGGTTGGCATACATATCCTCTCTCTCTCTCTCTCTCTCTCTCTCTCTATGTATATATATAATAATAACTTGTGTACTATGAAAGTGGCATCCACCAAGAAAGCCAGCCAGCCTAGCGTCGCAAGTAGTCTAAAGTCTCCTTCCATGACCTTTCAAAACAGACATCATCGTACCCCACCCTACCATTCATGCCTCCATCTTCTCTATTTGACAAAACCACACACATAAATTAATAGCATCGAAACACACCACGCACCTTCCTATGTTTTTAATCACACAAAAACCAAACACACCACACCACGCACTTTGCCTTTGACATATTCAAAATCTCTCACAATCAAACACACATCATCACAATATATATACAAATTCAAATAAAGCAACTTTGCCAAATTCATTTCCACGTGATTCTATACAAAATTCTTTCTTATTACTTGCTTGCTTCTACGCAACAACAATTACAGGGAAATTTTCAAAAAAGAAAAAAAAAAAGAGACTTACCAACTCATCACCTTCGAATTACAATTACAGTGAAGGACAAGAGTGACAAGTCTCAACAAAAACTAACCCAAGAAAGAGAGAAAGGAATTTCACTTTACCCCCCTCTCTCTGATTTATTGGATCAACTTCTCTCAACACCTGATTAGATATACATATACATAATTTGATTCAAACACAAACTCAACAAAATGATGAACCATTCAAGTTCAACTTCAACCCTGTATATACACAAAAACTATGTTATAATGAGTCCGCTCTCCCGAAAATATTCATATCACCTCTTGTGATCTTCCTCTGCTTCTTGCGGGCTTATTAGGATGGGGGTTTTGTTTTATGCAACAGCAGAGACACTTCGGCGATCTCTGCTTAAGCAATCGAACCCCTCAATCCTCACTGCAGCTGGAGTGTGCCCAAATTTCATTCGGGCGCATGATCCGCTTTTGCGTGCAGAGGACGATGGAGAAATGGGTGGCTGCAATAATGGAATGAACTTGTCATTGCCGAATTGTGAATCTTGGATCAGAGGATTCGAAGCCCTGCTCGGTGGAGACCCACTGAAATATGGCGGTGACGAGGGCACTTGGATATTGGATTTTTCTGCACCATAACTTCCCTGTTGTAAAGATATAAATTGAATTTTGATTTGGATTAGTAATCAGAGGAAGCTAATCAAAGAGCACAAACAATTTGTCAAAAAAAAAAAAGCCAAATGATCTGCATAACTGAATAAACTTCCACTGCTAGCAGAAACTAAAGAAACTGAAAATACCCACAAAAGAATAAACACAGAAATACAAAATTTTGAGTCCTTGAGGAACTTTGTTGAATATAATCCATATAAGACAGAAGTAGGAAAGCCAAAGAAAAAAAAAACAAAAATAAAAAATTTGACCCTTAGATTTTGGGGTGCTTTGGAGTTTAAGCATACATCCAGATATATGAATGTTTCATAAAGCTAAAGTTTTGTTAATATTTGGGGTTAGCAGTTCAGATTCTTCAGAATTAGATTCCTTTATTTTTGTATCATTTTCTAAGCAACCAAACAAACCATTAACAAGTGAGGCAGTGACTTGAAAAGAAAAAAAAAACAAATTGCTGTCAAAATAGTGGGTTTTCTCCCCTAATATTATAGGTAAAGCTAAACCCAGAAGAGGTTTTCATTTTCTAGAGTTTCAAGAATTAAAAACCCATAATACCAAAAATCAAATCTTTTTATTTTGCACCTTTTCTGGGATCAAATCTTTTTATTTTGCACCTTTTCTGGGTAGCAAAACAGAGCAGAAAGAGAAGGAAAAAGGGATTACCTTGGTGAGAATCATGTCAAGTAGTTCAGTTCCTGCTCTAGAGTCGGAAATTTCTGTTTGGTAACTGATAAAAACAATGAAATCAACAAAGAAAGATTAGATCTTTTGGACCAAAAATAAAAAAAAAAATTCATAAAGATAAAATTAATAATTGAAGAACAAATTATATACTACATACTTGGTGTGCCATCTAGAAGAGGGTCTGATTTGGTCGTTTAAGGAAGGATTCAAGAGTCCGATTCGCCTAGGTTTAGGGCAAACGACGGAGCCAGAGACATAGATCGAAGCCCCCCTCATCTCTCTAGAAGTTGCCATGGCGTTGATGTTCGAGATCTGCAACTTCAAACGCCTGTATCCACAACCACAACCTTTTCGGATCCAATCTTCACATACATATACATATACACATATATATATATATATATATATTGATGTTCGAGATCTGCAACTTCAAACGCCTGGGGCAAGCTTTGGAGGGGATGGCTCTAGGGATTTGGAGGAGAGGGAAGACCGAGGACCGAAGATGAGAGAGAGATAGGAAGTTGAGCTGGGCTACATATATGATACTATATATATATATCCTCACGTATATGTATGTATAGAGAGAGAGATATTTAGATTCACAGAAAGACATAGAAACGCCAATCACGGACAAGAACAGCTATGTCCGTGAGATCACTTCTTTATCACCGTTCGATGCAGTGGATGTGGTGTGGGATGCATTTCTCATCTCACATAGGCCTATTTTAGGAAGGCGATTAAAAGTACTCGTTTGGTATGAGTTTATTGAATTAAAATAGTTATAAAAATAAAAAATAAGTTAAAAAATTAATAAAATAAAATATTATATTTAAATTATAATTTTTTTATTTTATAAAAGTCAAAAAAATATATTTAAAATGAAATTTTTTAATCCCATACTAAAAAAATTAAAAAATCAAAAAAAAATCAAAAGTTAACTCATATCTCAAACGAATCCCAAAACAACTTATTAATTTTTTATTTTTCTGGATCATATAATATGTCTTTTTTTTTTTTGAAAAATTTATTAAAAAATTCTTTTTAAAGTGTTTGTATCTCGATTAATTTATAAGATATTCTTATATTTTAATAAGGGGAGACTTATTTATAAGTCCTTTTTTAAATACTTATGGTAGGCTAAGCCCTGCGTAATTTTTTATAGAGTCTCAAGTCCTATTTAAATAAGAATATATTCCACAAGATCCTACATAAACGTAACGTAACGTGACACATTACGTTTCCCAAACTTAATGAGTTTTTATTTTTTTAAATTGAATGTGAAAATGTTGTTAGTTTATGTTGGTGTCACATTATGTTTCATATAAATATGATATACGGTAATATTCAATTTTCTATATAGGAAATTGAATGTTGCCATAGATCATAGGTGTCACGTTATGTTTATGTAGGTGTCATGTTACGTTACGTTTATGTAGATATGATCTATGGTAACATTCAAATGTTGCCATAGATCATAGGTGTCACGTTACATTACGTTTATGTAGATATGATCTATGGTAACATGCAATTTCCTATATAGAAAATTGCATGTTACTACAGATTATAGGTGTCACGTTACGTTACGTTTATATAGATATAATCTATGGTAACATTCAATTTCGTATATATGGTTTTACTATTATTTATGATATTAACAACTAATATTGATGGTAAATGTGTCAACAAACTTCCCACAGGACTTATGGGAACATAAGTTTTTTAGTAGGACCATATATAGTATAAGTCTTCCTAATAGGACTTACAAATAATTTTTCCTTTAAGGGGTTCTATTATTTGAACATTTAATCTAATAACTTTTAATTCTCATATTTAAAGTCTTTTATGGACATATCTACCCTTACAAATATTTGTTGAACGATTAGTAATTTGATGACGTGAATATTCATATTTTACAATGTGAATATTCATATTGACGTGTGCATGTTCACATTGATAGTGTGAACATTCACTCTGACAATATGAATATTCATATTGACATTTTAACATTCACATTAACGATGTGAACATTCACATCACGGAACATTTGCACTATAAATGTGAGTATTGTTAGGAATATTTTGGTAACTATATCATCCATATGACTTATTAGAATATAAAAAAATAATGTAGACTAAATGAAATATAGGGGTGTCTTGGGAAGTTGGTACAAAGCTGACTTTTAGCTTTTTACTAAGCTTTTTAACTTTTTTGGAAAGTGATTTGGGAAGTTGGTAAAAAACTGACTTTTGACTTTTTGGTTTAATATTTGTTTATAGTGTTAACTCAAATTAAAATGACCAAAATACCCTTACTCAACATAAGAAATTTATTTTTTACTTTTTGTTATAGGCTCCAATTTGTAATTTCAACACTTACGTTTTTCTCTCTCCCCAAATGAATTTTTGTTGCGTTTTTGGCCGTCAACTTTTTTCCCCTTGGATAAAAAACGTGGGTTTTTACAAAACTTCCCAAAACGACACATAAATAGGTGAAAATAAATTTATGAAAAGTGCTCCCTTTTTTTAGTACGTTTTTAAAAAAAAATATTAACTTGTAACCTACTTTTCAAAATAGGTCATAGGCAATCTTTTTTTACAAAAATGAACTTCTACGTACGTCATAATAAATAGATTTGTTGTTTAATAAATCTTGAAAGAATAAATGACATTTTTTATTAAACACTATAAAAACATGTCACTAATTATTAATTTTTAGCGACAGATTACAAATTTTGTTATAAAAAATGTCACTAATTATAAATTTTAGCGACAATTTAAAAAAATTGTCACAAAAAAATCACTAATTTTCAACTTTCCACAGCAGTTTGAAAAATTCGTCACAGAAAAATATCACTAATTGTAAATTTTAGCAATAATTTATAAAAGTCATAATAAAAAAATCATCAATTATTAATTTTTAGTGACATATACAAAAAATATCATAATAAATTACTTTTAACGATGATTTTAATATGATTTTATTTTTTATAAAACTTCATGAGAATTAAATTAAACTATTAAGATCAAAATTACACGTTTGAGAGTATTATACCTAATTCTACGATTAAATGCGATATGTCGTAACTTTTTGTTTCTCAAACTTCTAATGTTTTCATGCCAATGAAAATGAAATCTAGCAATCCCTCCGTACACCACATTTGTTATACATCTGGCCTATTATTGAATATAAGTTGTCGTTTTGTTTACTATTTATGATATTTTATTTTTATGATTTGATTCATTGATTTTTTAAGTCCTAATGTATAGTATTAATATAAAGAGAAAAATAAAATTAGATTGATACAATGGCAACCATCTAAGTTTTATGAAAAATCAACAATCTACGTGTTGATAGGACGTTAATATTTTGTTTAATTGATTGGAATTGAGTGGAATGAAATTGATATTATTTAAAATGATCATTTTCTTATAATAATAATAAATAATAATTTAATTTATAATATATTTTTATTATTATTATTTTAGTAAACCAAATGTGATAATGAATATTTTGATGAAATTATCATTTCATTTTAATAAATCAAATGCTATTTAAAGAATTCTCTCTAACTCTATTTTCATTAAGACAACTATTTGGGATCACTTTTTTATAATCTAAATAATTTATTTTGTATGACCTTTCATACACATCATTTATAAAAATTAAAAAAAAAATATCAATCCGATAATCATAAAATTTTTATACGATTATTAGATCGATTTAATTTTTTTCATAAATAATTAACATAGAAGACTTTTATGAAATAAATAATTTGAATTATCAAAATAAGACCCATTATAAATCTTATTGGCCTGAACAATTATCTGAAGTTTAAAAACCCACATCTTTCATTAAACTAGCATGATTTGTCCTTCTTACTAAAAGTCAACAATCTGAATGTTGGTAGGACCACGTTAATGTTTCGTTTTATTGATTAATATGGAGGACTCTTGTAAAATAAATGTTTTAAATTATCAAATTAAGACCCGTAATAAATTTCATGAGCCTAAATAGTTCTTTCAAATTCAAAAACCCAAATCTTTCATTAAGCTGGGATGGTTTGTTCTTCTAACTTCTTCAATATACATTGAAGCTTGTTGCATGAATACCTCAATTGCTTTCCTCTTTCTTTTACAAAATTGCATTCAATGTGTCTGTCTATCCTCACTTTTTGTAGTCTTAGGAGTTCCTTTTTACTCCAATGCAAGTTTCCTCTTTCAAATTACTCGCATACAAGACATCTCATTTCTTCAACTACATTATGCAATTATCATATAAACTTGTGGATGAGTTAGTGTAAAAATTTTACTACTTTAGAAGTAATTTGTAATTCTTTTAGAATTTGAATTTCTCTAAAGTCTAATTGAAATGCTAAAGTTAAGGATAACTAAATATTTCATTGGATTATTTGTGGATTGGCATTTTATGTGTATTGAGTAGAGTAAAGAATTCTATTTTTAAATTCTTTTAGACAGTATCACATAAGACCCCCATAATATCATATTTATACATGTAAAATTAGTTTAAGTTACTTATTTCATGTATACAATATAAAATATATTTTACAATTAAGATCATGATTCATGCATCGAGGATTTGAATTCATTCTTTTTGCTGAAAAATAGAAACAAAACCAAGCTTTTGAAACATTTTCTCTTTAAGACGCAATATACCTATGTAATATATTGTTTATAGTATTTTTGTAGTGTCTTAAAATGAGTTGTTTTGGGACAAAATTAAAAAATAAATAAAAATTTTTGTTTTCCCTTCCCCTCACCCTTTGGCCACTTCTATCCGTCTTTCTTCAGCAACCCTTCTCTAGCACCACCAACCACCACCTCCCAACCCCTTTCTACCTCTAGTTATCATTGCGACCCTAACCCTCGTCACCTCTCTTTAGCCCAACCCTGCCATCATCGTGCCTCTCTTTCCTCTCTCATACTCTCCCTTTCGGTCAGACCACAGCCACCAACCCTCCTCCCCAACCGTGCAAAGAAAAAAGAAGATGAAAAGAAAAGAGGAATGGGTCGTGCGACTAGAGAAGAGGGGTTGGATGTGGTACGACAGAAGGGAAAATGAGGCATCGCTATAGCAAGGTTGGGAGTGAGGAAGAGTGGTCACTGAAAGGGGTGATAGAGAGGAGTCTTCCACTACAAAAAAAAATAATAATAATATTGAGAGACAAAAATTTAGGGATAAATTTTTTTTAGGAACTAAATATTTTTGTTGCGAAAAGTGTCGTTATTATATTTTTAGGATCTAAAATTAGACATTAATGATGAATTATTATCTTTTCAAGATCTAATTTTTTATCTCAAAAAATAAACTATTTTGAGACCGAATTATTTGGTACATTTTTAAAATTTTATTGTTAAAGGTCTTGTATTTTCCTTTAAGACCACCTTTAAGTCACGATAATAGAAATTAATTTTTAAATATCTTTTAAAATAAAATTTTTATTTTTAAAAATTAAAAAATTTAACCTCTAAATTTTTTTATATATTATAGTGATCGGAGATGGTGTGAGTGAGTGGCAATTGGGACGAAAGGGATGGGGAATTTTTATTGTTT